CTTACAAGTTTGTAAATATATCATATAATCACATTAGTACTTACAAGTTTGTAAATATATCATATAATCACATTAGTACTTTAGTTTCTCATATTTTTGTCTTATTTAAGTTTACCTTTTTATGTATTTAAGCAGGTATAGGTAGGTTCTCAAAGCAGCATATTTTGCATACTAATAAACCTTAAAAATAAAGGCTGAAAAGCTGTTTAATTTATCAAAAAAAAAGCATTAAGTCTGTTTTTATGTATTAATTAACAGTCAAAATGCATAAAGGCTTTACAACTATTTTAATCAGTTATTACTTTTTTTTATATAACTTATTTTTTTACTGTATTCTATGATTTGATTGGCTTGTTTTTACTTATAGGGCATGGGAACTAATGATCGTGCACTGATTCGCCTTGTAACGAGTCGTTGTGAAATTGATATGGTACAGGTCAAGCAGGAATATGAGAAACTGTTTGGAAAGCCTCTGGAGAAGGCCATATCCGTAAGTAGTTGTATCTGTTTTTTACAGTTAGGTGTTCAAAGGTTGAGCAAGGAATACAGATAATAATCTCTATCCTATTTCTTCAGTGTTAATATTTTTGCACCCTGATGGTTGCAAGCTACCTTGAGAGTAAATTGTACTAATGAAAATGATAAAGTTCTGGTCATTTTCTCACACATTAAAAAATAACAACTCCAGAATTGAAATTTAGTCAATAAGAAATGATTTGAATATTGGATTTTATACATAAAATTTTTTAAATCTCAAATTTTGGGTTGATTTTAACATATTCCCAACAAAGTCATTAATGTTTGTGAATTTCCTGAACCCTGTAGAGAAAAGTCATTATATTTTTGAAAATAAGTCAAATTAATTTGCCCTTGTAACTTCAATACAAGTGTAGTTTTATTAATTTATAACCAGTCACTATTTCTTAGTTTTGGTTGTCATAGTGTGATGTAATTCCTTATATATTAACTTCAATAATTCACACGCTATTGATAAAAACGTGTCATGATAAGGCTATTTTCATTATATTGAACCGACAAGACTACACTTCATCAGAAATTTGCACAGATGTCAGAACAAAGTGATAAAAGCTTAGCTCTTGCTAGAAGGTAAAGGTGTTTTTTGAACGACTTCTGCAACTTGTTCAGTTCTGATTTTTTAAAAACATTGATTAACTAAAAACACTGACACTCAAAATGTTGAATATTACAACTTGTTTCTTTTTTACCACCAAAACTAAATGTAACGCTTTAACACAAACTAGCCAAAATTACTGAGAACAACAAACATACACGTGCTTCCATCTGTCGGCGCTGATGTTTACAAAATATTTGAAGTCACCCTGGAAGACTAACGCAGGGTTAAAAATTTCGAAAAATGTTAGCATGGTTATAATTTAGGTATAGTTAAATAGTTTTATTGTATAACAGTATTCATACTGAAGCAGTATGCATGGTTTTTCATTTTAAAACAGATAAAACTTGGAATTTAACAGGAAAGTTTAAAAAATACCTCAGGCAGACACAAAAATCAGTAATTACAATGTACAACCAAGGAAGGCATTTTTATTGTTCTTTAAAAACATTTAAAATTAAATCTTGTTGAAATTTCTAAAAATATCATATAAAAATAAAATAATTTTAGAACTTATGTAATCTGTAAAAAAAGTTATGAAGTTTCAAACTATTTCATCCAGTTGTTCGTTTGTGTTAAACAATAAAACAATGTATTCTATAGGTATGTTGAATTGATGCACTCGAGTCTTGCAGAGTTAAACTACTCTAGCATTTTTGCAACCTTTCTGGCAGAATAGAGAGTTTCATATGAATAAGTCTGGGATTATTTAAACATTTTCTTGTAACTCACCTCCAGGTAGCATTACAAGGTTTCTTTACTGTTTTCTGATAACCGACTTCTAGAGAGAATTGTACACTAAAACCTTATTGAATGAAGTTTTAAAAAAATGTTTCTGTTTTTTTCAAAGGAGTAGTTAAATATTTCATTTAAAACATTCCATAATTAAGGGCTACAAAGTGAAGCAACAGGCTTTTCCCACAAGTAGAAATAAGTTGACATATGGAGCACAATTACATCAAACGATTTCCATCACATGATGGAAAGGTTTTTAACCAGTTTGCTCTGCACTTTATAAAAGGTTTTGAATGTGATTTCAGTTACACGTTTAAGAATACTAAGATGAAAGTTCTGCCAAACAAAAATCACATTTTCTTTGTTTGTTTATCTATTTTTGATCATTATGTAAATTACTTTCATTGTTGTCATCAACTTACGCAGTGATTTGACATTGTAAAAAAAATTATATCACAGATCCAACAGGCTATGTCTTAAAAAAAAAGGGATGTAAATTTAACATAATTATTTTTACCAACAGGCTATGTCTTATAAAAAAAAAGGGATTTAAATTTAACATAATTATTTTTATCAACAAGCTATGTCGAATAAATAAGATGTAAATTTAACATCATTTCTACCAACAGGCTATGTCTAATAAAAAAAAGATGTAAATTTAACATCATTTCTACCAACAGGCTATGTCTAATAAAAAAAAGATGTAAATTTAACATCATTTCTACCAACAGGCTATGTCTAATAAAAAAAGATGTAAATTTAACATCATTTCTACCAACAGGCTATGTCTAATAAAAAAAGATGTAAATTTAACATCATTTCTACCAACAGGCTATGTCTAATAAAAAAAGATGTAAATTTAACATCATTTTTACCAACAGGTTATGTCTAATAAAAAGAATCTAAGTTTAACATCATTTTTATAACATAATTAATTAGAGCTGTTTCAAGTGCTTTTATGTTACTGATATTTGAAGACCAACAAATCATGCTAGGTGTCGAGATTATGGTAATAATTGTGAACCATCTTTAACAACATGCAGGTAAACATGAAATGTGTATCAGAAATGTTTGGATAATGTTGAGAAAGGAGCAAAATTTTAAAATATATGTAATATCAAAACATTATTAAAAATACTTGGTTTTTTTTGTCTCTGAAGTGTTTTGTTGTTAAGTAGATAAACTAATCCATAAAACACAGATATGTCACACTTGTCTTAAACTTTACTCCTAATACTTCACCTTTATGTTTTTAATCAAATACTTATCTGTTTGATTATTATGTAGTCTCTTAATAAGTACATGAAATTGTATGAACACTAAATATTTCTACCAACTTAATTATTATTTTCTAGACTTTGTAGTTATAACATAGATGGAGCTAGGTGTCACATTCCATTAGGATATAAAGACTTGTTTCTTTGTAACAGTGATTTTAAGCATGAAATTCCCATAATTCCTTTATTATATATAATATGTTTGCAAATGTAAATACTTATTAAATGTTTATTATTACACTATGTTATTCATTTATATCTAACTTATTACAGGAAGACACTACTGGGGATTACAAGCGTGTTCTGGTTGCTCTAGTAGGAGGGGCCTAAAAACTGTACATAACTCTTCTTTAAAGCTGCGACAAAAGTATAATATAAGGACTTTTGTTTGAATGTTCAATGCCTGTTTTTCCTGGTTGTAATCTTAACAGTGTTAGTAACTAGCGTATAGATTAATTTTAAATGTTTAAGATAATCAAAGATTTCTTTTATAGAAATTTGTTATCTACTTAAATTGTTGTTGTTTTTAAAGTTCAGTGAAAAGTGTTTTAATGAAGTTAAATTTTCCTGAAAGTGTGTTTCAATGAAAATTACTGAAGATAAGAGAACATTTTAGCTGTTAGTATGAAAAATAAGTTAGGCCTTGTTGCTATAGTTCCTAGAAAAAATACTATAACTAATACACTGGATAGAAAAGATATTATTAATGGATCCAGACCAGTATTCAATCCGTTAATGTTTAGGGATGCTAGTTATGATGGAAGGGGGGAAATCCCCCCCCCCCCCCAAGATTATATAACCTGAGAACAAAGCACCAATTTTTATGTTTTTACTGTCTGTGCTCTAAAACTCCAGTACAATCCAGTGGCAGGCTTTATAAAATTCCAAGAGCTTCCAGGGTAATACTATGCATACATATAAACTTTAAGGACAACAAGTAACCTATTGGTCCATATAGACCATCCCATACACTAAACATTAAAATGAAAATAAAACACTCTAAGCCAGCACTTATCATTCAAATATTTAATCACATAAATTTACTGCATCCACCACATCTGAAGACAACCCATTCCATAGGCCAAGCATCCTGTTAGAAAAATAAAACTGTCATAGCTGACGATGTTGACTGCCCTGCCAAAATTTAAATTTGTATCCTCTAGTCCTACCATTTTCACCATTAAGTACAAAAAAAGAGAACGTATTAACACTATGAATTTCCTTTACAATCTTTAACACCTCAATCATATCCCCTCGATTTTAACCACTTCTTGTATGACAACCTTTTCATCCTAGGTATCATCCTAGTAACCTTCTAAACCTTTTCCAACAATTTGATGTCCTTTCTAAGGTAAGGAGTCCAAATTGAACACAGTGCCCCAAATTTTGACTAACCAATGATCTAAACAATTAAATTATAACCTATTTAGATTTCTATTCAAATATTCTGTAGATAGAACCAACAATTAAGTTATAACCTCTTTAGACTTATATTCAATATTCTGTAGATACAACCAACAATTAAGTTATGACCTCTTTAGACTTATATCCAGTATTCTGTAGATACAACCAACAATTAAATTATAACCTCTTTAGATTTCTATTCAAATATTCTGTAGATACAACAAACAATAAAGTTATAACCTCTTTAGACTTCTATTCAATATTCTGTAGATACAACAAACAATTAAGTTATAACCTCTTTAGACTTCTATTCAATATTCTGTAGATACAACCAACAATTATGTTATAACCTCTTTAGACTTTTATTCAATAATCTGTAGATACAACCAACAATTAAGTTATAACCTCTTTAGATTTTTATTGAATATTCTGTAGATAGAACCAACAATTAAGTTATAACCTCTTTAGATTTCTATTCAATATTCTGTAGATACAACCAACAATTAAGTTATAACCTCTTTAGACTTCTATTCAATATTCTGTAGATAGAACCAACAATTAAGTTATAACCTCTTTAGATTTCTATTCAATATTCTGTAGATACAACCAACAATTAAGTTATAACCTCTTTAGATTTCATTTAATATTCTGTAGATACAACCAACAATTAAGTTATAACCTCTTTAGACTTCTATTCAATATTCTGTAGGTACAACGTAAAATCTTATTTGCTCTTCCACTAGCAACAGCACGTTGCTTGAATGGCTTAAAAGACTGATGTACTACAACACCAAGATCCCTTTCATCCATATTATTGTTAAGCTTCTTCCCATTAAAACTATACTTATAATTCAAATTATGACATCCCACATGCATTACCTTGCATTTATTGTAATTAAAAGCCATCTGCCATTTATTCACCCAACTTGCCGAATAATCAAATCTTCCTGTAGAGCAGTAGCAGCATTCTCACAGCCAACAACACCCCAAAAAAACTATATTTTACAAAACCTTAGTGTTGAACATTTTGAAGCATTTTGATCTTAACAATGTCTCATTCTCCTGAACAAACTCTAAGACATTACCACATCACAATTGGCATGTTTAATAATATTTGAATTGTCTGTAGACCTTGGATTACTGTATTTTTTATACATTTCTCTTCTGTTCTTATTGAGGAATCGACATAAACGCCTTCACACGTTAGGTAGTGGAATTTATAAATTATCCAGGAAACAAATCTTATCCTTTATTGATAAAAGAATTGAATCTGAGTGGAAAATTTGAACATTTGGGTTCAGTTTGTGGATATACTTTTCTTATAATTACATTTAATTTATTTTTGATTTGAATGGAGTGAACACCAGTACGTGGTATAGTTGTGATCAGTGGCAGTTTTGAGACATAATGGAAAACTGTTTTACCATTTTCTAAATATTAGACTTGACAAAACATTTTGGAAAGCGATTCATTTCTCAAAACTGATGTTAAATTATTCAGTTCTTGTTGGAAAAGCTCAGGAAATATACATTCAGCCAGCAAGAAATACGTCACTGAAATTCTTAACAACTGAATTGCCCCCCAGTGGCACAGCGGTATATCTGCGGACTTACAACGCTAGAATTCGGGTTTCGATACTCGTGGTGGGCAGAGCACAGATAGCCCATTGTTTAACTTTGTGTTTAATTACAAACAAACAACTGAATTTGGACATTACGCTATTTGCTGCAATTAATATGTGATGTACCATTGACAAGAAGACAATGATTGAACTAATACTGTCTTTATGTAGTTCATAAGTTTTGGGGACTAAATGTTTGAAAGAACTACAAAACCTTGCATTAGTTTTTCATTTTAATATTGAAATAACATTTATAGTAGTTGTCTTTTGATAGTACTCATACATATTACATTTATGATGTGTAGAATACATCTTTCAGGTTCATTTCAAGTTCCAAGAATCAATCCTAATTAGGTGTTTAATTATTGAAGATGTGTTTAAACCTGCCAATCCACATCAGCTCAAGAAATGTACCACAATTCTCTATTTTTTGTAACAAACAAAGGTGTTTGATTTAATAATATGTCTGACAGAATAGGTAAATAAAAGTATGAAAAATGTTAAACCAGAATTGATTCAGTACTCTGGTGTAACTTTTCTTATTCTACCCTAGAATTCAAAACATGAGGTAACTGTTATGGTTGGCTTTAAATATAGCTGAAGCTACCGTTACTTCTTATTTAATAGTAGAATAGACATTCTTATTGGTTATACTTAACGTTCTACTGAGTACTGGGCCTTCTTAACTGTATTATCTAATACTCTAGACATTATCGCATTACCTAACAATACTCTAGACATTGTTGTATTACCTTGTAGTACATTAATTGTTGTTATCGTATTACCTAACAATACTCTAGACATTATTGTATTAACTTGTAGTACGTTAATTGTTGTTATCGTATTAACTTATAGTACATTAATTGTTGTTATCGTATTACCTAACAATACTCTAGACATTGTTGTATTACCTTGTAGTACGTTAATTGTTGTTATCGTATTACCTAATAGGACGTTAATTGTTCTTATCGTATTACCTAACAATACTCTAGACATTATTGTATAACCTTGTAGTACGTTAATTGTTGTTATCGTATTACCTAACAATACTCTAGACATTGTTGTATTACCTTGTAGTACGTTAATTGTTGTTATCGTATTACCTAACAATACTCTAGACATTATTGTATTACCTTATAGTACGTTAATTGTTCTTATCGTATTACCTAACAATACTCTAGACATTGTTGTATTACCTTATAGTACGTTAATTGTTCTTATCGTATTACCTAACAATACTCAAGACATTATTGTATAACCTTGTAGTACATTAATTGTTGTTATCGTATTACCTAATAGGACGTTAATTGTTCTTATCGTATTACCTAACAATACTCAAGACATTGTTGTATTACCTTGTAGTACGTTAATTGTTGTTATCGTATTACCTAACAATACTCTAGACATTATTGTATTACATTGTAGTACGTTAATTGTTCTTATCGTATTACCTTATAGGACGTTAATTGTTGTTATCGTATTACCTTGTAGTACGTTAATTGTTCTTATCGTATTACCTTATAGTACGTTAATTGTTGTTATCATATTACCTTGTAGTGCGTCAATTGTTCTTATCGTATTACCTAACAATACTCTAGACATTAATGTATAACCTTGTAGTACGTTAATTGTTGTTATCGTATTACCTAACAGTACTCTAGACATTATTGTATTAACTTGTAGTACGTTAATTGTTCTTATCGTATTACATAACAATACTCTAGACATTGTTGTAATACCTTGTAGTACGTTAATTGTTCTTATCCCATTACCTAACAGTACTCTAGACATTGTTGTATTACCTTGTAGTACGTTAATTGTTGTTATCGTATTACCTAACAGTACTCTAGACATTGTTGTATTACCTTGTAGTACATTAATTGTTCTTATCGTATTACCTAACAAAATAATGTCTAGAGTAGTATTACTTTGTAGTACGTTAATTGTTGTTATCGCATTACCTAACAATACTCTAGACATTATTGTATTAACTTGTAGTACGTTAATTGTTGTTATCGTATTACCTAACAGTACTCTAGACATTAATGTATTAACTTGTAGTACGTTAATTGTTGTTATCGTATTAACTTATAGTACATTAATTGTTGTTATCGTATTACCTAACAATACTCTAGACATTGTTGTATTACCTTGTAGTACGTTAATTGTTGTTATCGTATTACCTAACAGTACTCTAGACATTATTGTATTAACTTATAGTACCTCAATTATTGTTATCGTATTACCTAACACTACTCTAGACATTGTTGTATTACCTTGTAGTACGTTAATTGTTGTTATCGTATTACCTAACAGTACTCTAGACATTATTGTATTAACTTATAGTACCTCAATTATTGTTATCGTATTACCTAACACTACTCTAGACATTGTTGTATTACCTTGTAGTACGTTAATTGTTGTTATCGTATTATCTAACAATACTCTAGACATTATTGTATTAACTTGTAATACGTTAATTGTTGTTATCGTATTACCTAACAGTACTCTAGACATTATTGTATTAACTTGTAGTACGTTAATTGTTGTTATCGTATTACCTAACAGTACTCTAGACATTATTGTATTAACTTGTAGTACGTTAATTGTT